AGGACGAAATTATTTTGTAATAGTCGCATTTGATCAAACAAAAAACTAAAAAATCTTAATTGTATAGTCTCAAAGGCTTCGTCACGTAAAACATTTCACTTACATTCAAACGACGATGTTAAATTGATCAACTTAATTGAAAGCACTATGTGCTGATGACAAAAGAATTTTTCAAATTGAATTGAAGCGGTTATGTAATGAAAACCGTCACGAAGACCATTTAACAAGAATTAAGTCTACCTACATACTAAAGTTTGCTGGATATGAAATTGGTACCCTGTACATGCAAAGAACTTACAAAACTTCAATAGATCTAAGTAATATGAAAGAAATAAAATAAACTGTATTGTTTTTACTAAAACAACAACCGATTGTGTATGTAAGAGTGAAGTGAATCCCGAGTATTAATGAATATCTGATTCGAATTAAAAATATATTTTTGACAATGATGAGGAGGAGGCATGCATTAACAAATTTGGCTGCTGACACAGCTAGTTTACTGTAACAGCCTTGCACTTTGGGTTCCTAAAGGGACGGTAAGAAAATGTAAATGTTTTAGTGTAAATGATATTTCTTCAATGTTTTTTTGTGTTAGTTGCTTAATTTACTGTTATAGTATCCCGAAGCTACGACTATCATAATACGGTTACCTCACAGGTAAGTGCTAACGCAAGAAGCCGCTATGATAAAGTAAACATTCATTTTTCTCCCACGTCCCAATTCGGCCATTCCCGTAAATGGATTAGGCCAATTTGTTGAAAGAAATTAGGCCGCCTTTTCCCTCTAACGAATTTCCTTTTATTCAAAACTTTTCTCATGGTGTAATGTTTACTGTGCCCTTTCATGTTTATTCATGGCTTCTTTGTCAATATTAATCGAATTGGAATGGATTTTTTTGCATTTCAATGAATTTATTAAACGCTACGGCGGCTCGCCGTTATCGAATAATATCTACGGTATTGAAATTTGTTACTTACGATTGAATCGAAATTAATGGAAGAAAATTACAAATTATATTAAAATGTATTATGATGTAGATTTTTGAAAGAACTTTATTGTTGGTTAGTGAATCGTGCTATTTCTGCCTCATGCTAAGTGTCAAAGGTATCGGGTGGAAATCCACTAAAAACACGGCACGAAATTTTGATCACTATAAAAAAGACTGCGGCTGGATATCCTTTAATAATAATAATAATATATTTATTATGATTATATTAATAATAATATAAAATATAAAAAAATAAATATTCAGGAACTATTTGCAACTTTATTTATTCGGTGATAATGGTAGTATCGTAATTTTGCTATCTAACATTCACAGGCGTTATGTTTTAAATATTATATAATGTCTGTCTGGCCTATCTATGTACAAAAAGAAAATTTAAACAATGTCAAGTTGAATCAAGATTAATAATATTATCTACCAGGAACACATCAAAACTAGAGGCGCTGATTGACGTTTCGGAAAACTACAATACCATAAATAAAACTATCAAAATGATTATACAATTATAAAAATACGTTTTTGTGTTTACCCTTAATATAAAAATACCAAAGCCCATATAACCTAGTACTTCCGCAGTAACTAAAGTCCTGGTACCATCGATCGATTTCAACCCTTTCACAGACATGTGAGCCTACCTTTAAGGGCTTCTTTGAACTCGACGCGAATATCTCCAAATCGCCAATTCCAGTCACGAACAGTCGGTGTATGGAACAAAAGTAGTTTTACGCTTCGTAGGGTGACGTCAATTGAATTCAACATCAAAAATTTTTCAGAATAGACGAGTCATGAGTGAGGTTTAAGTGATGTTTGGCTAGCATCACTCCACTGATATTACCTGAACAAGCATGCCTCGAAAACAAAACTGTGACAGATTGTAGAAAAATACTTAATTTATTAAATGTTATTGATGCACAAAAGTACAATATTGAAGTTAATGCAAGTAGATTACTAGATATGGGTAAACTTAATATCCAATCCTTAAACTTAATTAAAATCCGAATATCCAAACCCAAAATAGGTCAACAGCACATCTTGTTTAGATGTTATATGGTTAGGGTATGTCATATCCCATCAAGTGAACCCTTGCTTGTCTGTCTTCTACTCTATAAAAAAAACAAGTTTCAAACCATGAATATTACGACTGTCTCAGGATTCTCTTACCCACCTCGCTGCTCCGGCGAAGGTTGGGCACTGACTACTCCCATCACTTAATTTGTGATAATAACAGAGGCTTAGAACAAGTCAGTTCTATCGCAAAGCACAGCAGAAAATAATTAACGTCTTTTTTTCTTTTCTATTCTAAAAATTATTTTATCGAAGTCCAAACCGCCTATACTAAATTTAATGAAATATTTAGGTGTGTGAATAAGATATTAACTTTTTAAATACCAATAACTTTTTTCCCAAATTTAATCACATAAACATTTTTCTAAGTGATCTCGAATAACTTAAATTAAACAACGGTTAACTGATCTGTGTCCAATGTAAAAATAACTTAATCTATGCGTTATAATACGCGTTTAGCCTAATATACTACATAACCATTGATTGACCGACGTGTAAAGAGACGAAGATGTCTTAAAAACAATTGCGGGACAATTCACACAAATCTTAAGAATCGTTGTATTTTCTTAATAACATTACGTTATTAAATAATGTTATATAAGTTTAACTAATATATATCTGGTTTTAAACCTTTAAAGTGTTTTACTTAAATGTGTACTACTCGTGTAAACTACATACAGTATTTAATAAATGTCTTTCGTTTAAGTTAACTCGCAAAAGGAACGCAGATGACGCAGTTGACGAAATCTAGAAATTATAAAGCTGAGGAGGTTGCTAGCTAAAATAATTTATGATCACCAAAATATGTATTCCACGCCTACGAAGTCGCGGGCACACCTAGTGTAAATACGCTGTGTGAAAACCGAAAATTTTTAGACTGATGTTGTTCAACAATAATTTAACCAAGAGATTTATGCTGCAATTTACGAGTGTACTGAAAATATATTAAACATACCTCGGGCCTTGACCCTTATAAATACATAATATACTTCGGAGCCTGTCTGAAGGGTTGGCTAATCTTACAAAGGGTAGTGGTTTGCGGTATGAGACATGCGGGCGCTCCTTACCCTATTTTAATTTAAACTATCCTGTAATGAGGTTTTACTGTTGTTTCATTTAAAATAAAGCAGGTTGTGTTTGTGTTTAATTAACGAGTTGCGTATTTAGTGGTGGATTATTTTGTTTATTTTCATATTATACTAAAATTTAAACTTTATTTATTAATTCAAACCATCTACCACTTATCATAATAAATTAAACGTAATGTATAAATTAAAAGTAAATATTATTGCCGTTATTTTATCTAGTTTTGTTTAAAGCGCCATCTACTGTCGAACAACGTAACCTAGAATAATCGTAGACTTTATAATTTGATTTTGGTTCTAAGCAAAAATATAAGATGGCGCTGTTAATCATGCTACAGCGCCATCTAGTTTATAAGTGTAAACTTAAAATAATCGTAGACTTTATCCTGGTTCTAAAGCAAATTACAAGATGACGCTGTTTATGTTTTTATTATGCTAACAATGTCGTCTAGTTTTTACTATTTATTGCTCTACCATTTTCGCTTTATTCACTGGCGCTACAAGTAAAAAAAATAAAATAACACGTTACATCGTGCATATTATAACCTACGTCAATTTTTATAGCTTTAAGAAATAAAATGATATTTTAAATTCTTTCCGTATTACTGACAATGCTTTGGATTTTTAAGTTAGGGGAAGAAAGTTTTATCTTGCATATTCCATTTATCATCAAGTAACATTTTTAGGTTTTATCAAACTATGATAGAAATATGTAAGTAAATGTAAGTGGGTATATAGACTTTCTCAAATTCTGTATTTCTTAATAAATTGAGGAACTTTGAATAGATATTTCAAACCAGTTTAAATCCATATAAAAGAAAACAAAAGATCACATTTAAAGATGGACTTTATTTCTCACTATGTCAATAGATTATAGTATTTAAACAAAAATAACTGTAAATTGTTAAAATAAACGTCTTTATTTACATTTTATCCATCGCAACAGTAAGAATTTTAATGAAAACAAAATATAATCATGGCTGTGTTTATTGTACCTAAACTTATTTAGAATATCAGGCTCAATATGAGCTATCATAGTTCTCGACCGCTAGTCCTTCCCACTGTTAGACAAGGTGTTCAAACCAAACTCAGAAGTAATCATCAAACATTATTTATTTTCTTTGAATATCACAGTAGGCAAAGACCCGGCGAAAATCTGAAAATTACACTACAAAAGCAAACGAGTAACGCAACTGTATATCGATAATATGCGTATTAAACTGCGATTAACATAGACATTATAATATCAGAAAAACTTCAAAGGTTACGTTACCGACGAATTGTACCATTTTCAGACTCACACGTTAGACAATGACAAAATACTGAATCAAACAATTACACTGCCACTGATACAATGTGTACACATCTTCGAAAACTATTTGATCGACTTTCGTCTATGAATACGATCACGTCTAAAAATAAGTTAATCATCTACGAAATGCCCTAAATAGTCAAGTTACATCAACAAGGCATCGCGGTCTAAAATAATTATTGGATTCTCGTCACTAGTATGCGCGACCGCATTTCTCTAAGTGCATTCATAACATTAAATTAATAATTAAACTAAATCATTTGACTATCACACATACTTCGCTCACCGACAGAACACTCGCAGACTCCAATGCACTAATACTTATTAATACATCTAGATTTTACACCACAATCAAGTGCTGAAAGAAGACTACTAACATTGGTCAAAGAATTGGTCAAAGAGATATGTCACAGATATAGAGCGTGCACGACACCATTTTGATATTCTAGAAAGATATGACTTTATTTACAACCGTGGAGCGTTTTCGAGGTTGAACGCTAACGAAGTCTCCTGCTTCTGTGCTATCTGGTGCTTAATAAACGTATATTTGCTTCAGCTGAGGCTTGAGCTCGGGTGGAATCGTGTACACCTCTTGTTCTGGCTTCTTTTTTACTAGTCTCTTCCAGCGGCCGCCGATGTTCTTGCGGAGACTGCGAAAACTCGCTCGCTCGTTACCGATCGGCTGCATCAAGTTGTCCTGGAAAGAAGAGAAGGGAATTTAAAGAGATTGTCTTTTGTGAACATGTTGGAAAGATAACTAAGACTCGTTCTTGGGAGACGTAATATCGGTTACATAAATAATATTTTCAAATGTGTGGGGTAAAAAAATTCCATCAACATAGCGTACACTTCTATCGTTTCTGAACACTCGTATAATGATCCCTGGCTCACTGACAGCTTTAACGGTTCCGTTATCGTTCTCATTGCATTAGGTGCATTTGCACCACAGTAGAAACAACCAGTTACACAATGCCCGCTTCAAGTTATTTTAACCGTTGCCACCCAAACATAATGACAGAAGGTCGACTCGCCAACGATTATTATTCTCGCGCTCCCAGACGGATTCAAGACCAGTTTTGACATAATATTAGGAGATAATGTACTTTTTAATATGTACGATTCTGTTTCACAGATAATAAATGAAGGAAGCTAGCTAGCAATCGCAGAGGCCATACGTGTAAACCTTGAATGCGCTATCAAAGCCATATTAGCATTCTTAGCTTCCTCGTGCCGTTTCAATATGGGTGGTCGTGCGTTTTAAATAGTTGAAACGTTGAATCGCTAATAAGTGGGACGCTAGTAAATAGAGCGTGATGTTTGGCTTGAAGTTTCATTACGGGCGACGGCTGTATTAGCCCTCTTTGTTCGTTAAGGCAAGAAGGCCGGACGGTTACAACACGCTCGCCTTGTACAGCTTTCTACTCAGTAAGCGTGTCCGGACATTTAAATTTATTTTGCACTTAGACGTTCGTGCCGTAACCGACTCTCACTAGAGTGGCGGGGCGTCAGACCAGTTCTTTTAATTATGCTCCCGCAGCTTTCCATATTGTCTGTCAGACAATGCAACGTTAACTGGAATCGAGACTATCGTGCGCTAAATTAGAAACGGGGTCAAGTATACTGTAACCGATCGCTGTAACCCAAATTATTTGATAGAAAGAAGCGTTGGCCAAAGTTACGATTTTTGAACCTACCTGATCGTGAGGATAGACGTAAGGCGGAGGCAGCGGCGGCGGGAACTGCCACAGCGGCTGCTGGCGGAAGGCAAGAGGCTCGGGCGGCTGCGGAGCGGAGGCCTGGAGCACAGCTTCGGCCGGGTGCACCGAAGCCGAGTGCTCCTCCCTCTTGCGCAGCTTGCTGTGGACGATGCGAATCGCCATCATAGTACCGTTATTTCCGACCATGGTCACGAAAGGTTCTTCCACGCAAGAATAACTGAACACACTGGGCTGGATCACGGGCGCAAAGTTCCAGTCGGGCAGTCACAACATTTCACAATTTCACTCACAGCCGTGTCGCGGTCTAGACGACGCAAACTAATAACTAATTAAATAAATTATCACAATATTAAGTAAGTAGAGCTATTGCACATATCACTGTTGCTAGGAACGCGCGGTAGACCGCGTTACGCGAGCTTCAGCTGCGCTGGTGACTAGAATGTTATCGTGAATGATGGCCGGCAGGTGCCTAGCAAAGCGCTCGCTCGTGCCAAACGACCTCTACGGAGTACTCCATGCGTCTGAGTTGAAGTGGAGGGGCGCGGATGGCTTTTATACGCTCGCCTCTGACGCGGCGCCACTACGCCGAAGGCGGGTTGGGGAGCGGCGGGGACGGGGGAACGTTTGACGGTTTCGCCGTTTTCCGCGAAAACCCAATACTCGACGCTATCGAACGGCGATGCAGTCGTTGGCTCCCATAACACAGCAGAATAACTGACGTACCGATAGACAGCTGGATGAGCGAAGTTCGTTCTTTTAATTAGCCTCGTGTGATAATATCTTGGCGTTAAAGATTACCGCGAATTCCTAGCCTCGACACAGCTGTGAGTACAAAGTAATTAACGGCCTCGAATACGTTCCATCGACGTACACGTTACTCTTGCGTGGAAACCATAAAAAGAGCTATAAAACACAATTTCACACAGAATAAAGAACATATGATTAAATAACAATATGGAAAAGTGTATCCCAGAAGCACAACAAACAATAACGTTGAATTATAACAAAATTGGGAACGTAGTACGCGTCGACGGACACGCCCCCATTACTACATCTTACTCGATAAAGCCCGTATTGATTTTGATGATAAAACGTTCGAAAGCATTTCACCATCACACCGAGTTCAAAGTCCACAGAATAAAAATATAGAGAAATCTCGCAACCAGTGCACGCCAGCTGGATCTATTGAGGCGGTCAACAATAATTCTGCATCTCCCTCTATTTTATTCGAGAGCCCATTTACGCGCAAGGGAGGCGTGCATTTCATATGTTCTGCTTGAAAAGGCAAAGTAGGGTTGCAGGGCAAGGGAGATCGGCGAGTGCGTTGCCCTTAGTTCGTTCCCGAGCAAGCGAGCCTACGGGCCTTTGACTCGTGTAAAAAAACACAGGTAGTGAGCCATTATAAGTTGTTACCCTTGAAAACGTCTAGAGGATATCGTCAAGCGAAACATAATGTCTTAACTTTTTAGCTGTCTTAACTTCCATGAGCGCTCGCGGTACAGCTATGTGTATTGATGTTTTGACTAACGTGTTTTGAGGCAATTAGACACGTTCCGACACAAAATACGTTAACGCATTTCAACATACGACTTATCGACATTCAATGGGACGTGCTATATTTCTTGTTTTCCGGGTAAAATCTGTCTTAATATTATCTCTTTACCGAACTGGTACATTAGGGCCCTGACAAAAGAGTCACTATGGATAAAATTTACGACCTAAAATATAAATAAACAAAACTCTAATATCCCTAGAACACTTTACATCTTAATCCCCTTTATCTATAAGCTCCTGGTGCAATAAAATAGATTTAAAATAGAATCGACAACGCTGGAACACATCGCCCAGTTCACCTAACCGTTTTATTTATAAAGTAATTAAGATAAAAAGGTAGCAACGTATTTCGTTTGACCTTTTATTACGTCAATAGGAGGCTATCGGCATTCTCCATATTTTTGAAGATCACGTAGTAACTAGTTAACGTTTTGAGATAGTGGACCTCTACGTGATGGAATGATATTCTAGAAAAATAATTGGAAATGTAGTCCAGGGGAGATGATAATAAACTGCCATTGACGTCAGTTCGTGATGGCATGTATGATGGGAGTCAATAGGGGTACATTTTTAATAATCTAAATCGCTACAAAGAGCTTGATAAATAAACTAATGGCATTGCTGATTGTGATCAATAAGTCCATTATGTACGTGTGGCGATGGTCCGTTGGGATACAGCGTCGTCTAACATAAAAAAGTAATTGATACAGTAATTGTTTGCACACGATAGATAATGACTATTTTATTTTTCAACCTAAAACCCATTTAAAATAAAAAACAAGAAAGTTTTACTAATTTAAAAGCAAAAAAGACGTATCTACTCAATTTCTACAGTTGAAGTCCAAATTTCCAAAAACAAATACTACACTTCAATTTCTAAATTAGTTTTATATGAAAATTAACAAAATTGAATTATTTAACGAATATCTCCAGCATGAAATAACAGGCCTCATAGCATCTTATAATATTTACAAAAATGTTCTACATCTAACCTTCAGTTACGTTTTGTTTATACAAAAGAAAATATTACTTAACCTTATGGTAAATGCCGCGTCATAGAGTATTCTATTCTCAACAGCATTTAAAGTCTCGTTAAGTATGATTATGTAGCTTTTTTCTAGTTTTATACGTATAAGTGTACACTTAAGTTGTTATCTTGCCTTAGTCACATACTCTCGGTTCTGTTTATAAAGTATTCTTATGTTTATCAATCTGAAACTGGTATATGTAAACTTACTATATAGATTGTGAGAATTTCCCACCCGTCAAAGTCGTGTAATTTGCATGGGCAGCATGTTACACCATCGTTTATTTCATTCAACTTGTAACGTATTGAGCACAGGTTCGGAGAATTATTTAAGTCCATTCACTTGTTTTGCAAAACGAATTAAGCCTTACGAGGAATCGGCTCATACCTGAGCATTTAATTCAGCGACCTTAATATTTATTTTAATGTTAAAGTTAACTCGCGGTTATTCCCTTGAAAGAATTCTCAAATCGAGTAAAACGTTATCGAGATTGTCCACAACCTTGACAGCTAATACGGGCATTGATCGATTTCGATAAAATTATATGCCCCTACACTTTTTATTTGATATTCCAATTTCTGAGTCATACGATTGTCCGGTTTTAGAAGGGAACCTAAAATAGATATAGTTCGTATAGCCGACGACATTCGCGGAGCTATGGAGTATGTCGATGCAGCCGTTCACGAGGAATTCACCTTGACCAGATAGAAGTCAACCTTGATGCCGATCGCGATCGTTTAAAGTACGATCGAGCAAAACCAAAAACGTGAAAGGTTTACCCGCGCTCGAACGGACTGTGCTCGTCCCTTCCGCAGAGGCAGACGATGGTTTTGTCGACGGCGAGGACGATCAGGGAGTTGTGTTCTAGCACCACGCCAACTTCGCAGTTCACCTCTTTACACTTCATCGCCTCGGCGGCGATCGGAGCGAAGAGCATCGAAAGGCGGGCTAGGCGCGGACGCTCGCTTGGGCGGGCTGGGACGCTCGAGTCCCGGCACGTTTTGGCGCCGACTGCCGCTCAGCCGGCGGACTTCATACCGGCGGTGACGCCGGTGACTGTTTGACTGGCACCACGCCTCGCGCGGCGGCCGGTGGCGCACCTCTCCCGTTACCTCATTGCCGTGTTATGGGGACTCGACCTCGCCACGCGAAAGCCCTCCGCGGTCACTGAGCGTGACTGCTGACGAATAACGTCTTATCCTCGTCGCTGGCACCTCAAACTGTCTAGACACGTTACTAATACAGTTAAGTACCAGCTACTATTATTTCGTTATTCGTTACTTTACTCCAATATACAAAAAATCCAAATATCCAAAAACTGTCTTTGATGTTATAGCTAGGGGTATTACACGTAACTGATGTTAGGCGTTTACTTGATAGTAAACCCGATCCTGCTCTCCTCTATCATAATAAAAAATAGTTATATACACCATTTTGTTACTTTTTTATAGTTAAAACTTATAATGTAATAGAAATTGTTTTAAATATCGCGACTTGTCAATTATAGTATACTAGTACTATTATTATCAGTTATCATAGAGATAAGAATTTCCTTTATGCAACAAAGATATAATGATTACTGAAATAATTAATACTCGTAAGTAACGAGAGTAATTATCGTTACTCTCTAGTAACGAATATAAACTTACAGCTGCCCATTTATCACGAGATGCGAAAGTGCAGTATTCTTCCTATACCATTTAAATGTTACACAGATGTTTTGTATCTCGTTAAACGGACTTCACACACATAGCGAAGACAATTGAAGTTGACATTGGCGGTAGTTAGCACGTATACTATTGTTTAGTTTATATGGTAGATAATTTTGCCAGGGGAAAGTTTTTAAAAGTCAAATTAGCTTCGCGACTTTCTAGTCTGTGAAGCGAGGACGCGATAGTCACGACTAGTGATAATCTGACGTCAATATCCTTTATATTATGTCTATTGCTTAAGAGGATTCAATATGCCACTAATATGTATATTAGAAGTCTAAGCGTCAAAAGGTTGTCACCATCACGCGACTTAGTGTGGCTTTAATTTTATTTAAACTTATTGGAGTTAATATAATATTTACTATCTTTTTACTAAATTCTGTCTGAAGTTTACGCAAGTATAATTTAAATAAATATTAGTTAAAGTTTAAAAATTTGTCTCTGGTCTCAGCGTGATCACGACGAAGCAGTAGAATTGGATTAAGATCAAATGTAATATAATTAGGATTTACATTACTTATTTATTACTTTAAATTTAAACAGTGCAAGTTTGTGAGACCATTTTTTTATGATTATCGCGATAATCTTGAAGGCCGAACAAATCTAGGTTTCGCAATGCGCTTTAGTCCTATTATAAATCAGTAAGATAAGCATTAAACTAACAATAGACAAACGCACACACACATCGTTTTAGATAAACAGAGTTTTACGAGAGCATATGGTTACGCTAGCCACGAAAGCCGGGTACTCATTAGCAAGCCGTAACAGTAACTTATAAAAAGATTCACATTTTTAATTTGTTACAAAACTTCGGCCAGAGGGAGCAGACTGAAAAACAGCGCTGTGCGATCCCCTTGGTGCAGCATTCAGCTGAGTCTGTATCCCGACGTGCCACAAAAGTTTTAGGTTAAGAATCTAGTTTTAAATATCTTTTGTATTTGTATTTTGTGGCATTAAATATTTTTTTCTTTTTTTCTTTCTTAATTAGCATTTTAACATCCTTTTAGTAGCACTGTACTGCTTATTAACTGATAAACAAATTTAAAAGATAATATACTTTATAGATAATACCTTTTAGAATTTTTTAATGGTTTTCTGTTAGTCAAATAACTACATTATATCATGAATCTATACACTTACGTTTACAGCTAGGCAGTGAGTACCTGCCTAAGCCAGCGACAAGCTAACATTCTCACTGGAATGCGGTTGAAATGTCTAAGATATTAAAAACTCGATTTTTGAATTGCTGATTAGACCATTTAGAGTATCTGATAGCAGTTCGAATAGTATTTCTATTAAGAAATGATATATTAAGAGGTAGACATATCTGAGCTTTTTTTTACTTACATTGAATGAATATTAATTTCCTCAACATTCAGACTGGGGTCTACTTTAATGTCTAGATTAGGGTAGGGATCTTAATAGACAATATACAAAAACCAAAAATTTATTTATAAACATGAAACTATAACCACGGAGAATTTTATCTTAAGTTTTGTCTGAAGATAGCAGTAGATAGTTGACTTTTTTACAATTAGTTAACTATTACCGGGCGTTTTGGACGAATTGCAGCAGCCGTGATAGTATTACCATAATACGTTTCGTGTTTTAAACCGTCAAAGTGTGTTATTTAAAATGTATTAGAGAACCTCGTTTATCCGCGAGATTATATTTTTTCTACACAAAACGTTCTTCTTAAATCAATTATTATGTCCTTTATAAATTAATAATCATATTCAAATCTGTCAAATCGTTTAAGCGTGAAAGAGTAACGTACATACGTCTATAAGAGAAACGTTTATAGTGCACACGGGATACAACAATAATAGTAATTCCTCTATGCAGACGCCAAAATTGGCTAAAGTCCAAATACTATTAGACCTTGGTAACTCATTGTATGACGTTTGTTTTAATTGTCTGTTATGTACTGACACAAGCAGACAGGGCCTTGGATTCGTTCAAACATTTTCTTAATACACAATTTAATCAATCGCCTATTAACAAGAAAGGTGAGGGAAGGCCGATTTAATAAAAAACATTGGTAGACTTTTAAAGTAACTTATTTCTATAGATCCTAACATGTTATGTAAAAAGTTATCGACATAATTTAAAAAAACCCTTTATATAATGCTGTCATGTACAAATAACATGTAAATTGTTAAACTATTCAGACGTATTTTTAATTAAACATTGTTCAGTCTATCATCATCAAACCTCGGCTCAATGTATGTAGTCTATAACATCGGCATAACCATGAAAAAATAACTTAGTTAATAAACTAAAAACACTGACTTTATTTATGACTTATTTACTTAGTCAATAGTATAGAAATACTATTTCTTTGGTACTAAGATCCTACTTTGAGGAGCTATATATATAACACATTATATAAGCTTCCTATACATGATTCATGATAAAAAAAACAAATTTAAACAAGTTTAACTAAAATTTATCGCGTTTTAAACCGTTGAAGTGTTATATTTAAATGTGTACTACTCACGTAAACTACAGACAGTATTTAGTGCTATCCCTTTCAACTCAACGTTCCGACATGTACCGAGTTATTTATTTTAATTGTTAGCATCCGTTTCCACTCTGTGCTATGTTTATATATCTAAGGAATTTATATAACTATGATATATTTATATGCCACCGAAAGTATATAGACCGCCCATACAAGAACCATATACGGCTTCTAGATACCCTATTTGTCACATATCTAATTTACTGTATAAGCAATGGTTTCTTAGTATTACAGCGCTTAGCATCGAGGATTTCATGTGACATTGACCGAAGAAATTAGATATATACATATTTACGATACCCAATTCTTTAATGTTATTACAACCATAAATGATGGGTAAACGATAATCATACGTGTAAACAGGTTATTTTTCCATAGAATACAATTGACAAGATTATTACGAAATTCGAAATATTTTTGTAACTAAATCTACGCAATCTACTTTACAAATTGCTTTTTCTGTAATATTTAAATCTTTGGCCTATGCTTCAGGCTTTATCTAAGTAAATGGTTCTGGTTGTTTACTGTTGCTAATAAACAACAAAGCTAAGCTATTCTTAAAATGGAGAAAAGGGTACTTACATTCTTTTTATTAATTTCCCAAAAGATTGCTTGATCACCGCCAAGAAATACATCTTCGAAATAACTACAAATGGCACAACACAGAAGCACTTATGGCAATAAATAAATTATTATAATAAAATTACAAATAAAGTATAAAATAAACTATTAAAAATTAACATTAATTACATGACAGCTGTGCAAGCTGGTAACGACTATAAAAGCGGCGACGAGACAATCTATCTATCGACAGATGGGTATTTTTTGTAACTACCTTCATTATTTCGATAAAATTGTCTTCATATAATTATTAAATATTTGTATTGTCATCTAATCACAATTTAGATATTTTTATTTGAAGACATAGACAAGATTCTGTAATTAAGTAATATTGGATTGAATTTCGGTGTTATCATTAGAAACAGACTTTAAAGCTAAATCAAAATATTTTTACAGGCATTTGTAAAATTATTGTTTGGATGTTATACAATATCTGACGTGTGGACTGCAAGATTATTTGATCTGATGTTTTTGATAATACTATACATAAACATTATGCCAGGACTGACGGGTGAAATTCTAAACGAAATCCTACCTCACCCAGATCTACGGTTGGAATAAAATACTGAGTATAGAAGATTAAAAATTCATAGAATTTTGACCTACTTGCAATAAGATATAATTCAACTAGAATTTATTTATATGTAGAATATTAACTTATTACTTCTGGCTCATGTAACCATCTGTAGTAAGTATCATGTCTCATTTATAAATTTATCAACGGTCATTTACAAAATTTGTACTGGTTCGTATGTAAACGATTGTTTTTTGTACTTAGTCTTAGTTTATAAAATGTTATTATATAGGTAAATACAAATTAAGGATGTAAATTGATCGTTTAGCTAAATATTAAATTACCAGACAGTAATCTTGACGTGAAGGAAATCGTAGATATCCTTGCTAACTTGTGTACATTCTAATACCTTGAGCGCGCCGATAAAATGATATGCCACTAAGTTATAAAATATTACATCACAAAACAGATGTTCATTAATAATCTTCATAAGATATTAAGTGACATGGGTTTTGTAATTAAGATTGACGTTCGTGAGCTAGCGAACTAAATTGTAACTTTGTAGTGTAGCTTATATAAATAAAATCGTATGGGTAATGTTTTAGAAGATTTTCTACTAATTACTGAGAGACTACATTAGATGTAAAATTTTGAATTTATTTATCTATTTCTCTTGAGTTATACGAGTTTACCTTTTTACTATAGTTTATAACCTCTTTTAGAAAGTTAATTTAATTAAATTGCTTAGCGATTTCAGAGCTTTCTATAGATAAAGATTCAAGTCACTTTTTTAAAGTATAAACATGCAATATCTCGCCAATAGCATTGACGGAGATATTAAAAATGAATTACACTACTGGCTGGGAATGCACATATGCGAAAAGAATTCTGACTTTTTGCCAAGAGCAAAATGCAATTTCTATGTGAAATAGTCGGGGAATACTAAGATGACGCTCTTTAGGTCCACATTTGGATTCAATGTTTGCTTATGTCTAAAGCAACACTTTAATGTTTGCAGCATGATAAAATAATAATTAGATCTGAAACTTATCCAATTATTATGAATTTCTTAGTGTTTATTAGTTTATTTAAAGTTTTAGAACTCTAACCTATAGAAAATCGATACAATAAAAACCAATGTAACTACGTCTAATGAAAAGAAAAAAGTTATAGTAAAATAAGTATCATTTTGTTGTACGTAGTTATAAATAAAAAATATATATCATTAGTATTTTTAGGTCCCTGGCAGATGACATAGTAGTAGGGAGATGTATACTATTATGTGACTAGTATGTGACCCGTTAATCAACTACGTTCTAACTTTTAAAAATAGTAGCCTAAATTAACAAAACAAATATGTCAAGAAATAACAACGAATAAGGGTTATAAGGTTAAAATATATGAATGTAGGAAACATCGTCAAACATTTTTGTTTCCAAATTTGTTCGCTACATATCGGCTTTTCCTTAAAACCCGCCGTTGCTTGGATATGCCAAAGTTTATGTTTCCTGGCAACCTTTCCTTGACTAATAAACACATTTAACAATTTTTGTAGCTTCGATGGATTCAATAAGATATTGCTGTTCGAACATATTTATTACTACTACATAGTGTTATTTTTTATTCCTTATTTATTATTAGTACGAACATCAAAACACTATTTTCTATTCCACTACTAAAAATTGATAGTAAAAAGTAGTATCGCCCACATGCGCTATATAATTAAGTATTAATAATAAGTTTTTAACTTTGGTGACGTTCATAAGTATACCTTGTTACCTACGTGAATAAATGATGTTTGACTTTGATTTTACATAACTTCATCAACATATTATGCGCGTTTCGTACGTAGAGTACGTAAGAACTAATGAGTTTTTGGTGAGAGGTAATAAGAATTCTGCCTGTCTTATAGAGACTCATGTATTTAAAATTCAGACAAAGCAATATCTTTACGTAATATTACATTACTCGGTCCGATCGTAAAAGAAGTGGCGCTTCGCTTTTTATCGTTCCACAATCTTATTACAACTTTGAATTGTTTTATTTGATTTATCGTTATTATCTGTGTTTATGTAACATTTAAATTGAGTGCTTCTCGGATCCACTAGTCGACTAAGGCTATGTGCAGACTATAGACATTTAATCGTGCGATAGTTTAGTGGAATTAGGCTGTGAGCATATTTAAATAAAACACTTTAGCGGTTTAAAATGGGATATACATTATTTAAAGTTATTTGGTCACGGGGAGACGGATATATCGCGTTTTATACAGTTAAAATCTTTTATTTAAATGTGTACTACTCGCAGTAATTACAGACAGTGTTTAATACTAAAGTATTATGTTTTTAAGAAGCTGATCGAACTATCGGATTTAATGTCTCTAGTCTACAAGTTAAACATTTTAGATGGTTTTTCGTGTGCCTTGACTCCACTTACTTGATCGTGAGTGCCAGCAGAACTATGATGAGCCCCACCAGGGCCATGGCAATAACCACCCCGCCTATCATGTAATTCGCATCATTTGGTGCATCTGAAACAAAGAAAAGGGATTTTAACCTTTCGATTACATGAGGTAGAAAGATAAGTATTTATAATTTAGTGAATGAAATTATAATTAAGATAAGCGCGATTGTTACAAAGTGATTTCAGTGTGTTTAAATGGATTACGACTCGGCGGGACTTGAACCTTATCCACCGCGTTCCGTGCTGCTGCCTGTGCCTGTCTTTTTCATTCTAACAACGTTTTCAATGCAACATTAAAGTGCAGTATGTTATAAATGTTTTAAGTAAAATTTTTCCCCTGTGGGGCATGCAGACACCACAAAAAATTTTATTTAGAGATAATTTATTGTACAAACTGTCTCAGTTAGCGATTAAAGCAATATATTGTTTTACCAGGATGCCAAATTAGGACCTCTCGGGCTAAATATTATTAATGAGTTTAATTATTATTGCGTAATTATTTCCAGTATTACAGTGTCATAAAGTTCTAGCTATTTAATATCTAATAGGTTTAAACATAATCAACAATTACAATCTGTAAATATCGTGATTAAATGTGAAAATGCATAGCTATATAATTACTAATTGCCATTAGAATGTGTCTTCATACACAATAATAGTACAAAGACACGATTTCGTGTAGGAAGTTAATTGTTGTGTTTTAATTGCTTCGGTGACCCAAGGCTGGGTTGATTCTAGTTCCCACACCCATGTCGTTTAATTCATTAGATGTCCTCAAAAAAGGTTCATTTATATACAATGATTTGTTACTTATAGTTTATAGTAGGGATACATACCTACATACCATAGTAGTAGTTTATACACGTATTTAGTTGAAATAGACAGTGCACAGGATTGTCTGTCTAAATATTAACCTCTCTATCTGCGTCTGTAAGTCATGTATGGACTCTCCAGACTCAGTGTTTACGATATGTAATTGGGCTATATCAATACATTAGTTGCAACAATCGGTTGTTGCCTTATGCGTACCACTTTGCGCCAATTGTACAGCTTTGTACCCTCAATTTGTATCCACGCGAATCAATGCAGTGGAAAATACCAGATCGATATAGGAAACCCTTGCACGAATCAAAACGCGAAATCGTGTGGATCGAATCAGTAACTCATACGAATTTTATAATGTTAGGTATTTTGTTTTTGTTGAATTTGTGTTGGATTTTTGGAGTCAGGCAAAATCTTTTGTCTTTCACGCTATTTATTTCTGTCGTCATTTATTTTATTGCCAGTTCTTCTCGGTTGTTCTACGTCCTTGATCTGAGAACTGGTACTAAATGTAAAGTAAGCTTCTTTAAGTTTGTTACGTTCATTAGTGGACATTTTTGACTTTGACTTTGACGTCCTAGGTCTTCTTTAAGATAACATTCTAACGAAGAAATGCTTGCTCAGAAACAAAGTAAGAATTAGTAAATAAATAGTAATAATATTATTATTTACTTTTAGTATAATTAAGTTCGTCTTGTAAGTTGTTGTTTTTAATACGTTTTCTTTAAGAACAGAAACGATTTATTTTTTATGATAGAGGAGGACAAGCATACTTCATGGTAGGTAAAATACATCATGTAACATCTAAACAAGATGCGCCGTCGACCTATTGTAGTGACGTAATGAAACCTTTAATATTTTTCCCATGATGCACTATATAAAATAAATATCGATTATAAACTCGGTAGTCCAATTAGTTAGAGTATTAGCACGGAACGCTGTGGACGCCGGTTCAAGTCGTTCCCTAGTGTAATTTTTTTCGCTTCTCATGTAATAAAAGTTAAAGATGGGATTTTTTTAGAAATAAAAACCTCTTGAAGTTCAATCTAGCACAAGCTATTTTTAGCTGTACGAAAGGAAGGCAACGATTTTCTAATTAAAGGATCGCAAACAAGAATAAACCAGGTACAGTTAGAAAGGTTGTTGGCATCTTACAGACATGATAGCAAGCTATTACGGGAGAAACGAGAACAGTTAGTTTCTTCACGAGAATTTCTGTGATTTATTTTATGTAATTCAATTCAAATACGATGCTACAAAGCCTTCGTTGGGTTGAAGATTTACAATAAAACATTTTTTACAAAACACTTATTTTAATACTGTCTGTAGTTTGCGCGAGTAGTACACATTTCAATAAAACCGTCGGGTTTTAAATTTAAGGAGAAATCTTTAGAACAGTTAAAAATAATCTGTTCTAAAGATTAATATATATACATATATTTCGCGTTTTCCCTTAAAGTGTTTTATTTGAATTAGTTACTTTTTTTAAATTAGGGTAATCAAAAAATCAATAAACAACATTCAAATGTGTATTTGTTTAAAACGCGAAATATAATAGTAATTCTTTTTTCATCTACGACCCGACGTTTCGCGATGTTATGTGTTAGACACGCGGGAACGTACCACGCATATTTATTTATTTATTTATTTATTGTTTATTTGGTATTCCTACAGCTACATAGTATACATAGGTTAAACCGTACTTAGACACGCGGAAACATTAGCCCAGGATTACACAATTAGAAAAAAATCTTGAAAGACAAAGATAAGTTACATATGTTCATTAATATATATCAAATTTTAAACCGATAAAAGTATTCAATTAAATGTGCACTACTAGTGTACACTAAAGACAATACTTTTTGTAGAAGAAAGATGCTACCCGCGCTCATAACGGTAATATGAACTACAAAAAATGTTTTAGATTTCCATAAAGTAAATTTCCGAAATTTGTAATCGTATCTTGTTACAAGAATGTCTGTAATATGCCTGAATCATTATTATTATCGTATAATGCTATATTTTAAATTTATTAACACTGGTCAAAATTTATTGTATTTTTATTAATTTTATTAGCAGTATGACTCTTACACATTTTAGGTTTTCCTCAAATTTTGTATTGAGGAAAACGAAATTAATTAAACTTCTAGATAGCAGCATAATTAAGTTTTTTCTGTCTGTTTATGTTACGGTACATTGAGTAAGTGATATTTTAATGCAGTGTATATAGGAAATGGAATCTATCATAATTTTCAACAGACGTATTGAAGAACGACTGTATTCGGATATTCAAATTTAGTTGTCTTTATATTACCATGCTCCACAAGAGGCTATAACAGGAAATGATAATAATGTATTTATTTAGATTTATGTTGCTATATAAACAGTTCCTCTAAACTTAATGATATATTAATGATTTAGACTCGTTGGTCTAATGGTAGCAATGTACCTATGGCCAATAATCAACGATTCGTGAGTTCGATCTCCACCGGGTCTAACATGTTTGTAATAAATATATAAGTTAAAAACTGTCTATAGTTTACGTGAGTAGTACACATTTAAATAAAACTTTAACGGTTTAAAACGCGATATGTATTAGGTAAATTTATTTGAAAATTATTTTAACTCCGGCTCGGAGACGGGTCTCCCCGTGACCACAGCTGCAAAGCATCCGAAGCGTCTGGCCGAAGTTAAAGAAAAAAACGTTTTCACATCCTGGAATGTAAATCTAGGATTTCACAACTAAGTATTGTTAAGATTTTAGCTATAAACTTGTCAACAAGTATGTGTTTTCTATTAAGTGGTTAACCATCTGCCCAACCATCATTTCTACTCTCGCAACTGAGAAGCCATTAGCTCACTGAAGAATCCAAGTTAATGGTCTTAACATAATCTGTTGAGTTGGGATCAGGTGTCTAAAGGGCATTGGCCTCCCGGTTAAGTGCCGGAATCTTGTCTAAGGAATTGCGAGTGGCAGCGACCACACACGCATAATGTTATTTCGTTATATATATATATATATATATATATATATATATATATATATATATATATATATATATATATATATATATATATATGCTATGACAATAATGGAGTGACAAATGACAGAGGGATGAACAAATATACATAACAACTCCTACTAAGTTTTTGTACGAGCTTAGATAAGATACAGACTTAAAATATAATATGTACACGTATAAGAACTTAAGGTAAGAAACACAAGGTATTATCGAAGTTTACATTACTTGCTGCTAAGTATATAATTTGAGCTACATAGATGACCTACATTTCTTAGAACTAAAAAGTCGGCATTATGTCATCCGTTACATCGTAATGGACCAGTACAGAATGAGTCTGTACATGACCCACAAACTCGATTTAAATGTATGTCATTCCATCGTTGCGAGTTACCTTTAGCCTTTTTTTACCATGTATTATTACATGGTAAAAAAGGTTGTCATAGCAATTCTAGACTCCTTTTTAGATTTTGTTTACAACAATTTCTAAACAAGCATTATATGTCCATTTTATATAAGTCGATACAAATGTACTTTAACACTTGTTCTTTCTTAGAATTCACTTCCTGAATAATTGATAAATAATACTAATGTGCCGTGTACACACTGTTATAACACTTTCCATTGGTAGATTTTGTTATAATTAAGTTACACTTATTTTTCAAAACGGTATACGTAAACGTACAATAATTAAAGGTGCAAAAAAAACAATTAAGTTACTAAACTAAAAATAATTCTAGTTTTCTAATCGTAAGCAGGGAAATATTGGATATTTGAGAGCAATTATGTCAAACAACAGATTTTTCGCACAGGTAAAGTGTTACAGTGAAATTGACATAGATAAGTAACTAAATACTGTGTGTAATTTTCGCGAGTAGTATACATTTAAATAATACAATTTAACGGTTTAAAACGCGAGACACGTCTCCGGCTAAAGTGTTTTATTTAAAAGATAACTAACTAACAGTCGAGGGCAAAATCAAGCCCCAATTTAATTGTTTTAAAATCTTTAAACATTACCCTTTATAACTTTGACCGCCCTTTTAAGATAAATTATACGATCATGTATACCGGCCTTAATGCAGGCGCCAGTACATTAACGCAACGTAGGCATTTTATTCCACGTGCAACCTTTATTCCACAAAAGGATCGATATCTGACATTGGACACTGCTTATCCGTCCCTGAACGAGGCAATGTTGAAAAGCAAGTTTCAGGCCTTTGAT